TTATCACCTAATATTATTTTATATTTTAGTGTTTGCATACGTATTTTGTTTATTTTAAATTTATTGAATTATTGTAATTAAAATAGTTTAGACTTTTTTTGTTATAAATTGTGAAAAAAAATGGTGGAACTTTATTTAGCTTGTGGATACAATGAAGAGGTACCTATATAAAATTCATTACTTTTCCCAGTTACTCTGCAAAATATTTTAGTATCTTACTACATACTTCTAGAAACTCAATATTGCGGTTAAATGTAAATTATGATTTAATGGTGGCCCAGGTATTCCATATTTCGAAAGATTTATGCGAAATTCCATGATATGCAATAACCACTTAATTCAGGCTGACTACATGATAATATTACCTGGAGATTAAAACCTGATGCATTTGGTACCATTGGAACACCAGACAACTGAAAACTTTACCGATTTGTTGATCAAATTTATAAGTAAGTTGATTAATTATTAAATTATTTCAACGATTTTATTGAGAAATAGATTTAGTTACTTTAATATATTATTTTGCAATGAAATTATATGACACAACTAATGTGTAGTACGAGTACCATATTCTTTCTGAAGTGCGATATGATACACAAAATATGTATTCGGCTTGTCAGTTTTACAAAATATTCAAATTTTTAACATTCTTATTTTTTTAGATACTTACTTGTCTAATTTTACATAGTGTAAATACATAATACACTCTTATATGAAAATTCTATAATATGATTTAGGTATTTTTTAATCGCTTCCTTTAAGGACGGGGTATCCCTGTGTATTAAAATTGTATGTGTAGACCAAAAGTTAAATCGACAGTTTTCCGAATATGTAGTGTTTAAAAATCTAATTTTTGGCCAAATTAAAAATAAAGGTCTAACTTAGGTCACCTTACTATTGAAAATTAATAAATTTATTATTTTCAATAAAAACCAATCATGTAAAATAACCCCCCTTCTATTTTATCTTAAAGGTGCCGTCTAGAATTATTTTAACCTCGATGTCAAACAAATAATAAAAAAAAAAATGTAATACGACCTAAGTTCAACCTTTACTTGGAATTTGGTACACTCAGAATATTTAAATATTGTATATTTTTCAAAACGTGTAGATTTGAAATTTATAAGTCACTTTCTTTGAAAAAACATGTCAAAACGAATTTGGACCAAAAATGGCGTCTAATTTAACTCTAAATAAACCCCGAAAAATCAATAATTACTTCATGTAATGTAATAAAGATGGTGCTTCGATCGATAATATTTTGACTATACTCAAACAAATAATGATTGAGAGTGAACCGTGTTGTCATATCTCAATTTTACCTTACTAGTTTTTAGCAGAATCAAAATAGAGTAAGTAGTAGGGTTGTAAGTTGTGGCAAATTATAGATAATATACAATCATAGTACTAATAAAAGATATTAATTATAACAAAAATCAGTAATGAGTAATACTTATACATTTCTTGATCATTTAAAATTAATTATTTTATGGATTGTTCAGTATTTGTTACAACTAATGGCATCGGTGTACGGAGCGATATTTGTGTCTTTGTCTGTTACGCGTAAAATCCATCTCGTCGATGACGTTCTCAGTAGTGTATTTCTAACCACGAGCGTAACATCGGGTTTTGAATTATACGGTGTGAATTGTAAGTTTTACAGTTAAGTTAGTAAGTAATCGACGTGTTGTAAGAACAATTGGTGAAAATATTAGTGCTAATAAGTGTTTAAAACATTAAATAATAATATTTCTACACCGTTCTAAAACTATGCAAAAAATGGAAGACATTGAAGGGCCTTCAACGTCGAAAAAGGTAAAACGGTCGAAGTCTCGGTCGCTAAGTGAAAAACAAATTGTACTTCGAGTATTTCACTGTCTTGAAAGAGATCATCAGCGACCAAAAGATAACTTAGTGCATATGTGCTGTAATTCTACGGATGTACCTCCGAATAACCAACCGGGTGTTCCAACATCATTAACTTCCACAATTACAAAAGATAAATTAGTTGATATGTGCTCTGATTATACGGGTGTACCAAAATCATCAGTTTACAAAATACTAAGAGAAAACAAAATTCATGGGGAAGTACAAACGCCAAAAACTAGTAGCGGAAGAAAAAAAATCACAGTTGATGAAAAAGCTATTTGGTTCCTACTATAATTACCACAATTATTACTCCGTTTTCATAAAGCCCCACTAATGACTACAACGATTAGGTAAATTACGATATTGCAAAGTTTTCATGAAATAAATAAAAGAAATTGTATGAATATTTTAAATAATTGTACCCTCTCAAAAATAATAAGCACGCCTCCGATTTGGTCGTATTTCTACCTGCTTTCACTCTCAATCATTATTTGTTTGAGTTTAGTATTTGATTATTTCCGTTTATATTAAGTGTGTTTACGGGGGGATATACGAGATGATAATACTGCCTCTGATACTGTTTATATGATACAATTGGAAACGACCTTTTTTCATCGGCACTCTTTTTTCTGACCTTTTGACACGCGCCTATTTGTTATATGATGTATGATTATCGGTTATTTATCAACTAAAAGTATAGGAAATTAGTACATTGTGAATGATAATATCATTTTAATGCTATTTTTGAAACTAGTTCAAAAGTTTCATTTAACGATACTCAATGTTTCATTTTACCGTCAGTTTTAGTTTGACATATCCGTCATTTTATGTTTACAAAGCTCAGTTTCTATTCGAAAGTAAGAGAAACAGTCAAAATAAAATGCGAAAAAACACTTTTTATCAATTTCGTTTATGTCAACTGAAAGCGACAATTGCTGAAGACGTAACAAATAAATTAGGTCGAGAAATAAAAAAATCTATACTATAAGTAACATACCATATATTATACCTGTTAAAATAAATCAAAAATAAGAGAACATATCGTTGACGTATATACTTTTCCATCTGTGTTTAGTGATTACCAATTGCAAATTACGTATGAACATGCTTCTGCGCAAAAAAAAAAACCATTATTTCAAGTACTTGTATCATTAAAGTCCATTAAATTATAATTTTTATAAATTTGCTAATCTTTGCACTTTAAGTTTCATTATATGGGGTATCCAGACATTTTAATCCTCGTCCTCTTCTATTTAAAATTATCTCAGGTGCCATATATTCCGTGTAAAATTTTTCTAATTTTTCAACCATATTTTAAAAAAAAATGGGTTGAAAATGAATTTTTTCAACAAATAGTGGATTTTCATCTCCAGTATATACTACAAAGTAGCACAATTTTCTTTGAGCTATACCTAGCTGTCCTTGAATCTAAAAGTATATAAAATCATTATTAGAAAATCAAACATAAAAAGAATATTAATATTGTAGTATCATTTCTAGCACATTTCTTAAAAATCATGAATTATTTTAACATATTGAAATTTTTCACCTGGTAAAAGTAGTTATGGTTTTCTTTTAAATGAATGTCACCATCTTCTATTTTTAAGCATGGAAATGGGTTTGAATATTAGGTAATGTGCGCCAATAATGTCAAATTATGACAATTCGCAGAAAACGTCAACTTTTTATTTAGATTTTAATGTGCAAAAGCCTACCTACTTTGGATATTGATCGTAGAAAAAATATATTCAGAATAATGAAACATTATTATTAAATAACAAGTTTTTTTATTGTCAAATTTAATACGTAATATTATTTTTTAATTGAAAATATTTGAATGTTAAAATTATAGCGTTTAATTTTTTTTATTCAATGGAGAACTCGAGAGTGATAGAAAAAAAAATACTACCTACCTTTAATGCAGGAAGTCGATGTCAATTTATCCAAAAATAAAACTGATTAAAATGTACAATGAAACTCACTAGGACACTTGGCACAAATAAATCAATTTTCTATTAAAGAAAATAACACTTATTAAAACACAAACAGCACAATAAAACACTTCAGAAACGTGTGATGTAATTTTGAAAACTAAAAACCCGTAAGCTTGTTTGTAAATTTATAGACTCTTAACTCCCCCCCCCCCCCCCCCCCCAGCCTTCATTAAGTATATTAAAAGTCGTGACGTCATATTGGCACAGATATACGGTAATGTGTTATTGACAATCAGGGAAATGTTTCTAGGAAATAACTACCTAAGATAAGATAAATGAATGTTAAATACCTACTCATAATATCTATTGTAGGGTTTTTGTACTTTAATAGGATAAATATTTATGCGGGCATGGAAATTCCAGGAAATGACCGTCAAAATTACCCAAAAACATTAGGTTAGTACCAACATCAAATAACAGATAACTTCGGTATTTAACCAATTAATCACAATTAATATTCCTGAACATTCAAATGACAAAAACTTCCATCTTTAACCAATGAGAATATAGTTTTCATTCGATACTTCAAAATCACAATTTATTAATTAGGTAGAATAGTTTTAAAATATATTGCGAATTGCGACACGTCAAGCGTCCCCACTCCGACTCAATGTGACGCAATTATTGTGGCAATATATTTTGAAACGACTCTATATTCGTGACTTGAAATTATAAACATCCCTCGTATTGCTACCCGTATATAAACCAAATTATTTGTTTTAGGAAATATTTATATTTAATGTTTTTATATTTTCTAATTACCTGTTCTGTATGCACCATGTTAATATTTAACATAATAAATTATTTTCGAAATATGATTATAATAAAGATTTTTACAACTTAATTACTTAAAATAGTTTTATTTTTAAGCACAGAAGAAGAGCATATAACTAGATTATTGCCTGCTATAGCTAGTACAAGTAAGGACACGAGATAATCATGAGTTTAAAAGAGTGGTTAGATAGCCAAGAAAATCTAATTTTTATATCATTTAAGTTACGCTATTTAAAAAAAAAATAGCATTTATTCTCACAAAAGCTGACTAGCTTCACTAGCTCGAGTTTGACATATTGTAGAATTTAAATAAAACACTCTCTGGGGAATAAAGTTATATCTTACATAGGTAGCTGCAAAAGTTTAATCAGGATTCTTTATTTTATTCGAAACAGTAATTTTACGCTCTTTTAGAAAATACCAGGTTTTTCCAGTAATAAGATTACTCCTGGATCCTGAATCAATTCGCATTTCAATATCTACCCTTCCTATAGTACACGGTACCATTTCCTCATCATCATCATCATCATCAATGTGAAATACATAATCCGTTTCTTCCTGATACTGTTTTGTGCGTTTAAATTTTTTATTAAAGTTAGAATAAGAAGATTGGTATATGGGTTTCCTCTTTAGATTGCTTAGGCATCTTCTATAATGTCCAATTTTATTACATTTTAAACATTTTTGACCTAGTGCTGGACAATTTATGTCTTGGCTATAATGCTCATTACTACTATAACACGTACATTTTTTTTATAGCTTTAGTTTGAATTATATTTACATGTTGTTTTCCGATAACTTGATTATTGTTAAAACTTTTAATTTCTCTAGTTACCGATTCAAAAACATTATTAGCTTCCCCTAAAATTATATCTATATTTTATCACCTATGGCTAACAATTTTTTCCCTAACTCTAAAGATGAACATTTTTCGACAATTTGATCAATAAGATGTTCATCTGTCTTAATAAATTTGTATTTGTTTGCTTGAATTCTTATTCTTACTAAATTTTTTTCGAAACGCTCATTATTTTCTTGCTTAATTTGCCTAAATAAATGACGTTTGTAAAGCTTACTTTGTTTCGGCTCAAAATATTCATCCAACTTCTTCAGTGCTACTGCGGAAACATCGATATCAACCTCTCCTTCTGGAATTACATGTGCACCTGGTATATTATAGTAAAGCTCCTGAAGTTGCTGTCCTCCTGCGTGAAGCAAATTTTCTCTCTTTTTGCTGATTTTCTCTATATTTAAAGCCTCCAAATAAATATTGAAAGCGCGTCTCCATCTAGACCACTAGACCGACAGAACTTGTATCTCCGTCGCAGTCAAACTGCTCGATGTTTGGTACGTTAGCCATTTCTAAAAATACAGGTTTATCATATTTTATTTAATTTTCATGAAACATAATACTACAAAATGCTTATATTAGAAAGTACTCTAAAAACCCCTTTATATATTTATATTTGTGTTAGTTCTAAACTTTTTGTTTTCTCCAAACTTATTTCTCATGGTTCTAAACCCCCTCTTTTATATATTGAGTTCTTATTTTTTTTGTTTTGAGTTCTAAACTCTCGTTTCAGCTCCAAACTTTTTTTTTAAGTTCCAAACCTTTTTCATGTGTTCTTGACTCTTTACTAATTTGACAGTTCTAAACCCTAAATTTCCTTTATGTCATACTAGTTCATTATTGTGTTTTTATTCCTCAGTTACCAACTATCTAGTGTCGTACTTTATGCCCGTGCGGGCATAAAGTTCACTTTATGGTCGCGCGGGCATAAAGAGAAATAATTTGTAAATAGTATTCAACAAGATTAATAGACCTTTATACTTTTATCCATTTATTAAAATCTAAACTATACATAATATGTAGATTGTTTATTTACATGCTAATGTCAAATCTTGACCATGACCCTGTAACAATTCTTCTCTTCTTCATTTTAGTGATTTAATTAATTAGGTCAACAATTAAGCTAAAAGTTTCACTCTCACTTATATTCGTTATTATAGCCCAATCGGATTAGTATTTTAGATTCTGAAAAATTCGAAGCAGCAATTTTCCTTCGGAATTCGTTGGAGGGGGTCTCTGGTAGTCTAAATTCAAAAAGTTGGGATTCCAAAGTTGTCGTTACCTCCGCCATCTTGATTTAAAGGGTTATTTTTTGTATCTTGAATAACTCATTTATATTCAATTTTACACGGAAAATAGTTTTTTAAAAAAGTGATTTAAAATTAAATTTCCTACAATTCTGCTTTTTTTTGTACGATCGATTTTTTTCGAGTTATACCCGAAAAGAGGGGTGAATTTTTGGTTATAGAATAACTCGTTTAGTTTCAATTTTACGAGAAAAATTGTTATAAACAAAGTTGTTTAAAATTAAATTTCCTACAATTCTGTTTTTTTTGTACGATCGATTTTTTTGTATTTATCCCTGAGAAGAGTGGGGGTGAACCTAAGTATTGTATTGTCACGTTTATTATTGATGTTGTACCATTATTTTTTCTGTTTGTTTTTTTTTTGCTGATTTTCAAACGTTATTTGGTACAATTATGACTCCGATTTTTTCTAAAGTTTATATTGTTGGCTCGCACGTTCACGGTAAAGGAAAAGAGGGGTGTAAATAATCAGTTTACTGTATACCTGGAATTAAAAAGAAACGTGATAATACAATGATAAGAGTTTACCCCCACTCTTCTCAGGGATAAATACAAAAAAATCGAGCGTACAAAAAAAACAGAATTGTAGGAAATTTAATTTTAAACAACTTTGTTTATAACAATTTTTCTCGTAAAATTGAAAATAAACGAGTTATTCTATAACCAAAAATTCACCCCCTCTTTTCGGGTATAAATCGAAAAAAATCGATCGTAAAAAAAAAGCAGAATTGTAGGAAATTTAATTTTAAACAACTTTGTTTATAACAATTTTTCTCGTAAAATTGAAAATAAACGAGTTATCCTATAACCAACAATTCACCCCCTCTTTTCGGGTATAAATCGAAAAAAATCGATCGTACAAGAAAAAAGCAGAATTGTAGGAAATTTAATTTTAAACAACTTTGTTTATAACAATTTTTCTCGTAAAATTGAAAATAAACGAGTTATTCTATAACCAAAAATTCACCCCCTCTTTTCGGGTATAAATCGAAAAAAATCGATCGTACAAAAAAAAAGCAGAATTGTAGGAAATTTAATTTTAAATAACTTTTGTAAAAACTATTTTCCGTGTAAAATTGAAAATAAATGAGTTATTCAAGATACAAAAAATAACCCTTTAAATCAAGCTGGCGGAGGTAACGACAACTTTGGAATCCCAACTTTTTGAATTTAGACTACCACAGACCCCCTCCAACGAATTCCGAAGGAAAATTGCTGCTTCGAATTTTTCAGAATCTCAAGCCTGTTCTTCACCTAATCCGATTGGGCTATTAATCGAGATTTTAGAATGTTTCTTTTTGTTTAATAGTTTGGAGTAAAAACTTAATTAATTTTTTCGGAAATAACAGTAAATCGCAATTTATTTTTATATTTAAACGGAAACTCCAATTTTGAAAATTATAATTTATTGTATATTTTTGGATAAGAAACGTTTACTAAAAAATGTTCTGTCAACTGTCAAAATAGATGACATATTGGATAATACTAGTTCTAAATATGTTTCTAATAATTACCTAAGGGAAGAATATTGTTGTGTGAGTCATTTTCGACCAGTTCGGTCAAGCTCTAATCCCTTAAAGTTCCTTTCTGTCTTATTTCACCAAACTTGTCCGTTTACCCAAAATATTCAAATAAATAAAGTCAAAAACATATAAAAGCTTTATATATTTATTGTTTTCATAACAAAAGTTGTTGATGTATATCTAAAATAATTCATAGCGCTTAGTATTGTATTATATTTAATTCATTTCTGATAAATCAACCAATTCTCCTTCTTCTGCCACGTTCTCTATTAACTCTCTTCTTTCTTGATCTTCAAATAATTCAGGGTCCATTTTTTGTATTCCTTTCGATTTAATATCCTTGGGTTCATCCTAAAATTGTAACATACAACGTGATACATTTAGTATAAGCAGAAAAAAAAGAAATATTTACGAATACGAAAAATTAAAGCAAGGAGGAAGAACAGTGAGAATACAAGAATTAATAAAGAAGCAATAAAAGAGAAAAATAAGCAAAGAAACTATAAAAAGAAGAAAATAAAGAAAAAATAATTTTAAATATTTTTGTCCACAACCACTTAATAATAAATCAATATTCTAGTTCCTAACTAAAAGCATATGGTACCCATATATCACTGAGTGAATTATGATAATTCACGCTATTCTAATTCTGACAATTTCCGGTAGATAACTAAAGATGGGCGATACTTTTCATAACGATATTTTCTAGATCGAAAAATCGAAAAATCGAAAAATCGAAAAATCGAAAAATCGAAAAAATCGAAAAATCGAAAAATCGAAAAATCGAAAAATCGAAAAATCGAAAAATCGAAAAATCGAAAAATCGAAAAATCGAAAAATCGAAAAATCGAAAAATCGAAAAATCGAAAAATCGAAAAATCGAAAAATCGAAAAATCGAAAAATCGAAAAAATCGAAAAATCGAAAAATCGAAAAATCGAAAAATCGAAAAATCGAAAAATCGAAAAATCGAAAAATCGAAAAATCGAAAAATCGAAAAATCGAAAAATCGAAAAATCGAAAAATCGAAAAATCGAAAAATCGAAAAATCGAAAAATCGAAAAATCGAAAAATCGAAAAATCGAAAAATCGAAAAATCGAAAAATCGAAAAATCGAAAAATCGAAAAATCGAAAAATCGAAAAATCGAAAAATCGAAAAATCGAAAAATCGAAAAATCGAAAAATCGAAAAATCGAAAAATCGAAAAATCGAAAAATCGAAAAATCGAAAAATCGAAAAATCGAAAAATCGAAAAATCGAAAAATCGAAAAATCGAAAAATCGAAAAATCGAAAAATCGAAAAATCGAAAAATCGAAAAATCGAAAAATCGAAAAATCGAAAAATCGAAAAATCGAAAAATCGAAAAATCGAAAAATCGAAAAATCGAAAAATCGAAAAATCGAAAAATCGAAAAATCGAAAAATCGAAAAATCGAAAAATCGAAAAATCGAAAAATCGAAAAATCGAAAAATCGAAAAATCGAAAAATCGAAAAATCGAAAAATCGAAAAATCGAAAAATCGAAAAATCGAAAAATCGAAAAATCGAAAAATCGAAAAATCGAAAAATCGAAAAATCGAAAAATCGAAAAATCGAAAAATCGAAAAATCGAAAAATCGAGAAATCGAAAAATCGAAAAATCGAAAAATCGAAAAATCGAAAAATCGAAAAATCGAAAAATCGAAAAATCGAAAAATCGAAAAATCGAAAAATCGAAAAATCGAAAAATCGAAAAATCGAAAAATCGAAAAATCGAAAAATCGAAAAATCGAAAAATCGAAAAATCGAAAAATCGAAAAATCGAAAAATCGAAAAATCGAAAAATCGAAAAATCGAAAAATCGAAAAATCGAAAAATCGAAAAATCGAAAAATCGAAAAATCGAAAAATCGAAAAATCGAAAAATCGAAAAATCGAAAAATCGAAAAATCGAAAAATCGAAAAATCGAAAAATCGAAAAATCGAAAAATCGAAAAATCGAAAAATCGAAAAATCGAAAAATCGAAAAATCGAAAAATCGAAAAATCGAAAAATCGAAAAATCGAAAAATCGAAAAATCGAAAAATCGAAAAATCGAAAAATCGAAAAATCGAAAAATCGAAAAATCGAAAAATCGAAAAATCGAAAAATCGAAAAATCGAAAAATCGAAAAATCGAAAAATCGAAAAATCGAAAAATCGAAAAATCGAAAAATCGAAAAATCGAAAAATCGAAAAATCGAAAAATCGAAAAATCGAAAAATCGAAAAATCGAAAAATCGAAAAATCGAAAAATCGAAAAATCGAAAAATCGAAAAATCGAAAAATCGAAAAATCGAAAAATCGAAAAATCGAAAAATCGAAAAATCGAAAAATCGAAAAATCGAAAAATCGATAAATCGATAAATCGAAAAATCGAAAAATCGAAAAATCGAAAAATCGAAAAATCGAAAAATCGATAAATCGAAAAATCGAAAAATCGAAAAATCGAAAAATCGAAAAATCGATAAATCGATAAATCGAAAAATCGAAAAATCGAAAAATCGAAAAATCGAAAAATCGAAAATCAAAAAATCGTGGACAAAGTATAGGATTTCATAAAAATAATAATTTATTTATGTTAAAGGTAAGCATATCATATTTATACCTAATAACTACCTACTAGTTTTCTTCTTAAGGTGCATATGTACTTACTTCTTCCGAACTATTACTCGCTTCTGAAGTAGAAGGAGATTTTTTCTTTAACTGCGAAAACGATGGATTTTCAAATGACTTTGGAATATTATGTAGAGATCCCGCTACAGATTGGCCTTCCATAATTAGGCCAGCTCCCTCACTTACACTGAGATGTCTTGAGAAGAAAATTGATCTATACGTAAGTGGCCCCTGTCCTAAACCAATTCTATAATAAAAACAAATTATAGAAAAAGTAGGTAAAAATTAAATTATAGTAATGGCAATTATTTCACTTGTATAAGGAATACGAAAGTATGTGCAATAAAACTGTAAAAACGTTAAAAAAGGTATCATTACGATACCCTATACAGGGTGTCCGAGAAAATGTGGGAGGTCTCTCGGATTCAGATAGAACGTTAAAAATAGGATGACGAATTCCCATAAAAATTTTTTCTAGGGGCTCTCCCTATGGAGATACGGCCTTAAAAAAGGACGCCACCGGAAATCAATTTTTCTTGAATAACTTTTAAAGTACTTAATATAATTTAATGAAAATTTAATGTAATAAACAGTAGTAAGAACCTCTTAAAATACTGTCCTTAAAACATAATTAGCTTATTTAGTTTACCAGGGGTGCACTAGGTTGTACATTTTAATGCTTATCAGGGTAGGGCGATCAGGGCGGCCGCCCCGAGCGCAATGATCTAGGGGCGCCAAAATCATGGGAAATTAAAATAAACTGATAAAAAAAATTAAGTTACAGGCTTTTATAAAATGCACTAAAAAGTAAAGAATATTTTTTTATTATTCTGATATCATATCAATAAATTATTTTTCATAATATTGCATTGTCATCGGACCCTTGTAAGTATACCAAATTTCATTGAAATCGGTTCACGGGAATTTTCTCAAAAACGCGTTGCAAGATTTGACTAATAGTTGACAAGATTAAGAGGCGGCAGGCGTAATTTATCATTTTTATTTCTAAGCACATAATTCAAATAATATAATATATTTAAACATTAAGGCAAAATCTAGTTGAATTCAATTCAACATGACAACAACTTAACCACCGCCTTTCAAGAATTGACAAGTTTTTCGGCCCGTGGAAACACGACTGTACAGAAAACAACAATTTTTGAAACCAAACGAAACAAGATCTAACAGCCCTTTTTAACTGCATATAAAAAGGAAGTAGACTTAAAACAATGCATTATTTGTCACTAGACTTCGGCTGGTGCGAAATAAAATAGTTTTTTTTTTAAATTGTTAGTGCAAAAAAAGCTTTAAAAAAGTGCTTGTGCAAATTGTCCAGTTCGTTTGGTTTCTGTGAACGTAAGTGTTTTAATTTTTGTTTTCATTTTTAAAAACTAAAAAAATCCATCAGACATAAGCCCAAAAAAGGGGTGAGGGATAGATTTCAAAAATTAGAGTTTATATCAAACAATGGCTTGTGTGGTAACAAATGAAAGTTGATTGAACCTGCAGTTGAATAAAATTTATTTTATTTTTTTAAGCCAGTGGCGCACAAGAGGGGAATTCAAAAATTGGAGTTTACATCAAAAAATGGCTTGTGTGATATCAAATGAAAGTTGATTGAACCTGCAGTTAAATAAAATTTATTTATTTTTTTTTAAGCCAGTGGCGCACAAGGGGGGATTTCAAAAATTAGAGTTTACATCAAAAAATGGCTTGTGTGGTATCAAATGAAAGGTAATTGAGTCTGGAGTTGAATAAAATGCATTTTATTTTTTTAAGCCAGTGGCGCACGAGGGGGGATTTCAAAAATTAGAGTTTATATCAAAAAATGGCTTGTGTGGTATCAAATGAAAGGTAATTGAGTCTGGAGTTGAATGAAATACATTTTTTTTAAGTCAGTGACGCATAAGGGGGGATTTCGAAAATTAGAGTTTAAATCAAATCATGGCTTGTGTGGTATCGAATGAAAGGTAATTGAGTCTGAAGTTGAATAAAATACATTTTTTTAAGCCAGTGGCGCACAAGGAGGGATTTCAGAAATTATAATTTAAATCAATTCATGGCATTTTTTGATATCAGTATTATCTGTTATTTTAATTAATTTGTTCCAGAAACCAAAATATCCGATGCTAAGAGAAAACCCTCTAAAAGCGAATTTAAAAAGCGGAGATTGAACAAGCAAACACAGCTTTAAAAACAGTCAGATGCTCTGCAGAACTTCTTGAAAGAAGGTAGTTTCAACACTCCCACAACCGACCAACATTTGAACAACGCCCAGCACCTAGATACTGACTTTCCGGATATGGATCCCCCTTTGGACGCAACCGCCAGCATTACTGAGCTGGGTAAGTCATCTCAATCGAGTTTGGCGAGTAGTGATGTGGTTCCGTGCAACACCAAAAATTAAAATTCGCAAATTGTGCAGACCTCAGAGAAACACTTAGAAAAGGCTACCGTCCAAAGTATCTCTTCTGACCCAGGATTATGGCCCGAAATCATGCGTGCAGCAGATAGAGTTTTTTTGGTTAAACGTGATCCAGCTGCACCTTTGTATAATTTTGATTTTCCTGTTAATGATCAGCATAGAAGATTCTCACCAAAACATTACAAGAAAAGGCATAGAAATGGAGAAGAGGTTTTAAGAGAATTGATGGTATATTCCGTATTTCAAAACGCTTTG